ATGTAATGCATAGTCCATTGCCTACAAATCCGCGTTGCATTTGAATGGGCATACTACCTATGTACATAAATGCGTTTGTTATTTTCTTAACAGTATTCTGAAGACTGATGAGGACTACTGACATTGAGCAGATGAATCTGGGACACCTAGGTTTATGACCTGTTAGAAGTGATTTGGTTACTTTCGCATCTCAGTTGTTGGATTTAACTTCTTTTTTATAGCGTGTTGTAGCCATAATAAAGAAGCACTCATTAATGAACAATGATCCTTCGAGCATAAGCGAGTGTTGTTTCGGTGCCTTCAGGTTATCAAGTCTTCGTAGCAACTTCCTTATTTATATGTACACTTTATTTTTTATCGCAATTCTCTTTTCTATTTTTTTCCTTCTGTTCGGTTGTGCATTGCAGTTCTTTTGTTTACATTGTTTGCCTAAATTTTAAGCATATCCCGTCCGAGCCCATTCGTAGCACATTCCCTTCAAACACTGCAAAATTGATGTTTAAAGAACAAGTTGACAATTCTAAGTTTCCTAATGGGGCCGGGTACTCAGGATAGAACAATAATACCTTACTTCCTGTCAATTTGAGGGTAAACTGTTTTAAACCAAACGGTCTTTCCTATCGTAGATGAGAGTTTGTATCAATCGCAAACTCTCTTCTTGTAAATCGTCTGTCTTTTCCTCGCGGCAGTGTAGTCGTGTTCTTTGTTGAGGATATGCTTATGCCATTTTGGTGTACTGAGTTACCTGAGAAAACGAAAACGGTTTTGGATTTTATCCTGACCTTTTAGTATTCTATTCGGCCTCATCTTCCCCCCTCTTTTAGTTGAGTTTTAGTTTTATCCTACCCAAGTGACCAAGCTCACGCACTACTGCCATCCTCATGGTTACTACTATCTATGCGCGTTTCAAACAGATAACAATCTTTGTGAAAAACGAGTAACACAGTATTTGGAACAAAAAGAAAGGCTTGTGCACTCAGAAGTTTGAAAAGTGCCCTTTCCATCTCTGTGCTTCAGAATCATACTGCCTTCTGAATTTGAAGCCACTTCGCACCAAGATGCCCGAGTCTCCCGTTTCTACAACACTTTTCAGAATGTGCCACCAGAAGTGCTCTTTAGCGTAGAGTTATTTAGCCAGATCCTGGTCTTGATAACAAACAGCATTTAGTCGTGTTGAGTAAGAAACCCCACCTTTAGGTCCATCGTCCGAATCCGGTTAGATTATGTCATTCTGAGTGATTTCAACTATTTCCACTTCACTGGTAGAGGTTGAATTGGGGGGATTCTATCCCAGATTAGATCATTCACATGCAGTGAACATTTCAGTGAACTCAAGACACATAGCTACCCATTCATGCCCACTTTCTTTGTGAAAGAATGATCTGTCAATTGATGAATGTACTCATCATGAAGAAAGAAAGGTTTGGCAAGCAAAAGCTTTAGTTGGT